TTATATTATTTAATTAACATTAAAAATTTTTTAAAAAATAAAATAAAATATCTAATTTAATAATTAACTTAATAATAAAAGAAGAGAATTAAAATATCAAAAAAAAAGCAGAAAAAATGAAGTTTAAATGAATTTTAATGAAATTATTGATATAAAAGTTTAATTTATTAGTTTATTATATGTAAAACTTGTGAATATATATTTAAATATGATTTCTTTAAAATCTTACAATTGTTCTTTTAATGAAAAATTACAAAAAATCATATTATAATTGTTAAAAAATTTTTACAATTTTTAAAGATATAATTACCAAAAAATTGTAAATATTATATATAAAAATTTGAAATTATTTTAGATTAAAATTTTAAAAACTTTTCTTAAAAAATGATTAATATTAATTTTACATATGAAATTTTACAAATTAATAAATTTTTTTATATCTAACTACTATTTTTTTTAAAATGCAAATCTGTTAAATCAAAATTAGTATTAAAATTTTTGAAATTATAAATGATGCATTTACTATAGATATGTGAATAGATAATTTTAGAATAATTAATTATATTTTATTTACAGTTTATTATATTGATAAAAATTAATAAATTATAAAATAAATCTAAATTTTTAAATATTAAACATTTAGTTAAATATATTAAAAAAGTAATATTAGGAATTTTAAAAAGTTATAATCTTATATCAAATATTATAATGAAAATTTATACATTTATTACTGATTCTGATTCTAATTTTATTTTTGCATTTAATAAATTAAATTATATATATATTATGCTTTGCATATAGATAAAAATTTATTTTTTTTATTTATTTTAATTTATAAGTATAAAATAATTTTTATATTAATTTTTACTAATTTTTATAAAATAATACAATTTGAAAAATTCTTTTAAAGATAAATATTTTAAAAATTTCTTTAATAATAGATATAATTTTTAAACATTTTTTCTTAAATTTAAGATTATAAAAATCTTTTAAACAAGGAGCAAAAACTTATATAAATAGTAAATTAAAAATATTAAAATCAGTTAATAATTAATTTAAAACAATTACAAAACTTTTTATAGAATAAATAAACTTGAATAAATCTATAGTATTGATATATATATTATAAAAAATTTTATAAGACAAGCAATTTTTTGAAAGGATTTAAATATGTAATTTTATATATAGTATTACTATAATATACAATTCTTATAGATTATTTTAAAGTAAATACAGTCAACTCTCTTTAAATGCATTCCTTTAAGACTATAGTAAAAATTTTAAAGAAAATATGCATTTAAAGAGAAAATTTTTATATAATTTTTATATATTTAAGACTGAATGAGTACATGTATTTTAAGAAAAAATATAAAGTATATAGATTTAAAAAGAATGCATTTAGAGAGAGTTGACTGTATATCAGATAATTATATATTAATTCAAATTAGATTTATTATTAAACAAATTATGATAATTAAATTAAATATTTATAAAAGAGATTTGCTATTTACTATTACTAATGATTAGTATAATATCACAAATTTTTTTAGATATTTATGTAACTTTATTTAAATTTTTGCTAAAATTAAAAATGCCTTTTTAGATTTATTGTTACTTAACATTTTAAAAAGACATTTTAACTAGAAGCTAAAATTAAGAATGTGATAAATAACAATTGATTAATATGATTTTATATTTAAAAATTTCTATTTTTAGAATATATAATAAAATAAAATAAGAAAAATATAATATGAGGTGATAAATTATTTATATAAAATTACATGATATTAATACATTACTGATAATATATAGTAAATTTCTTCATAAAATTGCAGTTTTTTTTTGATTTAAGAATAAAGTAACTTAAATTTTAAAACAATCTAATATTTTATGGTTAAATTAAATCATTAATAATTTTGATGAATATTCTGCTTTAGCAATTCTATATGCTTTTTTATTTTGTAATTTTAGCCTTAAGTATTTCAAATGAAAGAGAATTTAATATTATAAATTAAATAATTAATAAATATTATACTAATTAAATCCTAAAATAATAGATAACATTTTAATATTATATAATATTCTTTATTAAATTTTTGTTATTTATTATTATAATAAAAATTTGTAAGAAACAATTACATATTGTTTTTTTTGTTATTGTTAAATAAAAATAAAATAAAATTTTTAAAATTTTTAAATTTTGTATTACTAATAGTTTAGATTAAACTAATGTAAATCTCTATTTGCTAATTACTAAAAGACATTCTTTATAATAATTCTTTTTGTCAAATATTATAATATATGAGAGACGGTTAATAAAAAAGGAGAAATCTATAAATTTTGAGTAATTTTAGTTATTAAGCTAGTTTTGTTCACATGATCATGATTGGCAGAGTGAACTAATAAAAATTTTTTGACTAAAAAGTAGATTTCTCCCTTTTTTATTGACCGCTTTCCATATAATATATTGATTATTTTTATTTTATCAATTATATTTTTAAAATTTTTTTATTTTAATTAAACTATTGCAATTAAAATATTAAATATACCAAAATTTAAATCTATTATATTAAATTTAAATAATTTACAATAGATATTCTATAATATTTAAATGAATTTTTAATTAAATTTGAATTAAGAGATTCTTATGCAATTTTTACTTATTTAGTTAGTTTTAAATATGATAGTCTTTTAACATAATTTGAAGGTATAGTTTCATAGATTTTTTTTACTATCTATTGATTATAATATACAAATCTTTTTAAATTAATTTTTTAGTATTTATATAAAATAAATATAAAATAAAAATTATCTATATTTTAAATTTAAAATTCTTATTAATTACAATATCTAATAGTTATAATTTTAATATTAAACCACTAAGAAAAATTGCTATATTTATATTTTTTATAGCAAGTTGATTTTTAACTGAATTAATTATATATGTATGTAATAAATCAAAAATTAAAGAAAATACAGATCTTTAATAAAGATTAATTAATCCAAATATTTTCAATTTATCATAGCATTTTATTTTTATTAATCCAATTCTTTTCATTTGTATAAATAAATATACCTTTAAAAAATTTTTTTTGAGATATATTTTAATTTAAAAATAATAATTAAAAGCAATTTTATTTTATTTGCTATGCATTTAAGAACTACAGTAAAATTTTTTTATTATCTGTAGTTCTAATGTTAACTGTATAAGTATTACATTTTTCAATTATTATTAGATTAGAAATATCAAAAATAAAAGATGTTTTATTCATATTTTCAATTAAATATAAAGAATAATTATATTGTAATTAGAAAATTATATTTTTTCTTCTAGATTTTCAGGTAAATATTATGCAATAATTGTATAAAATCTAATTGATAAATTATATTAATTTAAAAACCATTAAGCTAATTATTAAAAAATTTAAATGTTTGTATATCTAATAAATTTTAAAGATTTGTATTTTGTACAAACTATATTGCTTTTGTATTCATTAATGATTGTGTAATAGAATTTTGTAATTGCTATTGCTTTGTAATCTAATCAAATAAGATATCTTCTAATTGTGAATATTTAGGTAATTTTTTTTTATATAATTTAAGCATTCTTGAAGATGCATTAATTAAATCTTTTTTTTTATTTATTTAATCTTTTAATTGTTTTAATTGGATATTAAATTTTTTACTTGTTTTATGCATACTAAATTCATTATTTTCATAAAATATAATGATCTTTAATTTTTTTTAGGCATACCAATGTTTTTGTAATTTTTTTGTTATTCTTGTTTTTTAATAAACTTTTATTATTTTTTTATAACCATTTTGATAAATAATTTCATTTCAAAAAATTATTCAAGTATTTATAAAATATTGGATTTTATTTAATAATTGTAATTATAAAATAATAAGTAATAATATTTTTTTAAATTTTTTTGTAATTATTACAAGTTCTTTATGATAACTTTTGGATCTAAATAAATGATTTTCATAAATGGTAAATTTGCATTTACCATTAAAGATTTCCGAAACTAACCAAAAAATATTTTACAGGGGAAAGGTATTACAAAGAGCGTCATACGGTAGTTGTAAGAAATTTTAGAAACGTCTCGAATCGTTTGATTAGCATCTCTATACCATAAAAGGTGCGATTGACACTATCCATTTTTGGTAGAAATATTCGTATTTGTCACATTGGATATAATTCCACCCGAGTAATTAGTAACTTTCGCTTATAAATAGCCTTCGATAATTTTGGTTAGCCTTTGAAGATCAATTTGTTAGGACAACATCATATTGTTATGGATGCCAAGTCGGTCTAATTAATATATATGCTGGGTTTAACTTGGAATTTTATAAGTTCTTTAGCAATGTTCAACCTTCCTTTATTTATACCATACACCTTATCCTTCTTTTTTTTCTTTGCGACATTTGTTAAATTCGTTGTTTAATATTTTTTGATTCATTTATTTTTTCCGATTATTATTTAATTAATTAGCATTTGGGAGTTTGCTGTTATGTTCGTAACTCGATTTTAATAGCAACCCTCCCATTTAGTGATTAGTATTTATTTGAGTTAATAAAATTGAATCGCTAAACCGAGGTTGAGGCAACACTGACTAATTAGAACATTATATCATAAATAATCAATTGCTTATTAAATAAAAAAATCTTCATATTTCAAATTGTATATAAATACGTTAACGAAAGAATTGAATACAACAGTATTATCTTTCGAAGTCATGTGATAAATTTTTATATATAAACTTTTTGTTGGTTAAAATTTAAAAGTGACCACTGCCGTGTGACGTAGCCTAAAATTTGTCGAATGATAAATTATTGTCATGTGAGCGATAAAATAACAATACAAAAACAGAAATCTTTAATGTCGTAATCAGATATATATTTGCAAGAAACTCGTGCGAATTTATTGAGCGGGATTATTTATTATAACGATAATATTATATTATGATAATTATTAAATAAATTTAACTAATAATGTCTCATTTACTCTTAATGAATGATAACAATTCTTTAACATCACTTTGCAACATCTTCATCTCGTCTCGTAATTTCAGGAATTCATCATTCGTAACAGTAGTTTTATCCTCATGGTCATCGACGGTCAATTTAAATGTTTGAGCATTATTACCTTTATTTGCTGCTACATTTAAAAATTGATCTTTTTGATCATCATCATCCGAATCATCTGAATCATTAGTGTCTTTTAAGATCTGGCTATTAATATCTTCAACAAGTAATGATTTATGAGTTTTCCTATATTTTTCAGCTTTATCTAACCATTCCTCTTGATATTCAGCACTTCCAACATAATATATGTATCTCGGATTCCCTCTTGAACTACCTAATGGTTTTTCTAACGTTTCATAATCAGCGATCAAATCAGCTCTATAACTTAGCACCGCTACCTTTACATTATTTTTTGCTTCGTCATACACACCCGTCATAAATGCGACCAACAAATTCTGCATGATGATAACCAATAATATACTTGCGGCTAAAAATAAAATAAAATTTTAAATTTAATTGATGATTATTTAACACGTTAAATATATAGGACATGAAATATCTACCTATACTAAATACGTGAACTGGCCAGAAATCCCAAAGTTCTAATTGGTCCCATCTTCCAAGAATCCAAAAATAAACTCCCATAATAGAATGCCCAAATGTTACATAAAAATTATCGATGGGTTTTTCTATATCAAAATCTTGTGAAATTTTAAAGTCTATGGTACCGTCCGGATTTGGAGAGTCTATCACATAGCTATCGCCATTAGGTTCTAAACCAATACTTTTAGGATTTCCTAACGTGATATGCTAATTATTTTTGAATTTAATTAAAGAAATAATAAAAGATTTAGCAAAGCTCCGATTTAAAAAAAAAAAAAAAAAGGAAAGAAACCAAATTAATTGAATAATTCATACCATTGCATGACCGAAAGCAACGGTTGTCATTAACTACACAATATTTATTTTTTAAAATAAATAATTAATCAATTATCGTATGCTTCATTTAAACAATACTTATAATTGCATAATAAAATTTTACCATAAAAATTAGGAATGGCCAAATAGCTTTTAAGATATTTATAATCATGTTAATGTAAGTCGCGGTACCTTTAAATAAAAAAAAATAATTTAGTTGATGATACAAATATTTAATTATAAAGTAATGAATATAATATTTACTCGTAAAGAATCGCGTCAATAATATCTAGATAAATAAATAAAGAAATTAAAATCACTATGATAAAAAGTTAATAAATATGATAGGTACTTACTAATTCAAACCATAAAAGCAAAACCGCAAATGCTTGCGGAATAATGATTTCTTTATTATCATCACTCATTGATACACCGTGATCTTTAAGATATTGGAAAATATAAATTTCACTTGGATCAGATGTGTCAAAATCAGGACCACTTGTGATATTAGCCCATTTAAAGATTATTCTAAGAAAGTTTATCATCGTAACTAATGAAAGAATAATTGATGCAAGATCAAGAAAATTATATATGCTCCAATATCTTTTAAAACCCTCGTATCTCAATTGTACAAATTCTGTTGCCAAAAGATAATAACCAAGATAAAAAAATAAGGCTATCAAAGAGAATAATAAAAATGTATTATCATAAATAGTATTGTCGAGTATTCCAGAAACTAATGCAAACGTGAACGCAAAGACTATGAATAATAAAAAATGACGTAAAAAATGATTTCTCGCTGCACCCCATTTAAAATCAATACATGCTTCCATTGCTGGATTATCATATAATAGTTCATTTTCATTATTTCTTAAAAGCCTTAGAAAAGGGCTACGTTGATCTTTACTTCGAACCAAATAACCTCTTGGCCAAAATAAGAGTTTAATAAATTTTAACGGAATTATCCAATTACTATTTGTTCTATCAATCGACTTTGATGGATAAATTGTAAAATCTGGTAACGGAACTACGCGTACTGTTGTTACTTGTGTAACCTCATCATCCGTTAATTTTGATCTTCTCTTCAGTTTTTTCAACTTAAATGTATTCCACAATGAAGACTCGTTTTGCTTCAATAATAGTCGTGGTCTCAGATTTAAAGAACAAATTTCCGATTTATATCCTTTTTTCAATTTACTTTGGTTCACAAATTTTGAATCTATAAGTTCTATTTTGGATCCAAAGCAAGGCTTGTAAAATAGCTCCTTTAAATAAGGTTCTGTTTTTAAATGATGCAAGTATAATTTAGACATAGAAGAACGCAAGCCACATAGTGAGGAAATGTTCCTTTACATACCAAAGTTACGATTGTTAAGCAAAGGAAGAACCTTTGTCACTGTAAACATCCAACCTACCGTAGACAGAATTTTTTTTAGTGATAAATTTCAAATTCCCGCGAAAAAACAATTAACTCACCTGTATCTTTTTCCGCATTATTTGAATAATATTCGAGCAACATGGCGACGATAACTGTATCCCTCCGATGTCCACCGGAAGATTTTTTAATAGCAATCATCAAATCACTTTCTTTCGCTCTTATAGGCCATTGATATTCCCTTGGAATATGCAAGTAACGACTAATTCTCGTTTTATCTTGTTTAATGCCTACTGCTTCTTTATGTTCGAATAGAATCCGATGCAATAACGATATATGCTTTGATCGGATGATATTGGCCATAATGTCATATCGTATCTCAGATAAACTCCATAAATCCGGATTTTTTTGGATGCACTTTTTAATCAGTTTCTCCGTGTCCGCTACTAATTCTTCATATTTGCCTTGATTTTTCGGTCCTACAGGTTCGTCTCTTCGTTCGTAAAGATACTCCATAGCAACACATGCGTCTTTGAGGACATGAGCTTCATTTGGCCAATGAATGTTTACGTTTTGACTTAAATTAGCGGAAATCGTTGAAGGCAATGACAAATTTAAAGAAAATTCACGCTTTCCAATCTTTAGAGATGAAACGTTAATCATTTTGTTACTTGGATTTACCCAAATATATTCTAATACTCTTTTATATTTAGAGCCATGACTCTTATTTCTCCAAACTTGAACTGTTGTTATTCCTATTATAAGTTGAATGGTTTTCTCTTCATCAAGGTAAGAAGAAATACGTTTATATTGCTTGTGATGAACCCAAGGTTCCTTATTATTAACGACTAATACTCGCTTATGCTCGTTCTTAGCATCCAAACCTTTTCCATCTTGTTGAAAGATTGTGTGAAAGATTTTATCCTTTTTCCATGAATTTTCTTGAGCTTGATTAATGGTAATTGGGAGAAGTCCTTGTGATATATTAGATGGTTTTAAATTACGTTTAATATCCGATAACTCAAGGACTGAACAAATAACCTCATCTTGTAAAGATGCAAGTATTATTCCATTTGAACAAGCTATTGAGCGATTATTTGACTTTTGTAATGAACTAAAAATGCCTGATTGATCGACAAACTTTCGTACATCATACTTAAAAGTGAAAAGATCCCAAATATTTATCAATGTAGTGAATGTAATTTTTCCATTTTCACCATATCCGGATGCTTCTTCAGTGACAACGAATAATCTTTCATCATCGTCGATAAATGAAATTGAAAGGATTTTATTTGCGGTAGTAAATTCTTTAGTCGTAACCTCAAGTCCATTTTCCATTAAATGAATCCTAATACACTTTGTACCATTACAATATGCTAATAAGTGACCATACTTTGAAATGGAAAAAATTGAATTCCCATGTGCTTGCGTTGAAAGAGAATTTTCATCCCGCTTTCGAATTGTCAACTCTAAATCCAAGGATTGTAAATTATACAATTCAAGTCTTTGATTCCTATAATCTTCAACAAATAAAAATTGATTCTCAACGATATTATTTAAAAATCTCGTACAAGGAGAATCTTGATATAATTTATCAATTTTAGTTTGAATGGTTGTTGGAAATTCATATACTTGCGCGACCGAAGAATTATTAAATATTGATCGTTCGATAGCGTAAGGATTCTTATGA